AGGACAGTGAGGACAGTGTGGATGAGGAGAGAGTGGATGAGGACAGTGAGGATGAGGACAGTGAGGACGGTGTGGATGAGGACCGTGAGGAAGAGGACAGTGAGAATGAGGACAGTGAGGATGAGGACAGTGAGGATGAGGAAAGTGTGGATGTGGACAGTGTGGTTGAGGACAGGGAGGACATTGTGGATGAGAACAGTGAGGATGAGGACAGTGAGGATGAGGACAGTGAGAACAGTGAGGATGACGAAGTGAGGAAAGTGTGCATGAGGATATTGAGGACAGTGAGGATGAGGACAGAGAGGACAGTGAGCATGAGGATAGTGTGGATTAGAACAGTGAGGATGAGGACAGGGAGGATGAGGACACTGTGGATGAGGACACTGAGGACAGTGTGGATGAGGACAGTGAGTACAGTGTGGATGAGGACAGTGAGGAATATGACAGTGAGGATAAGGACAGTGAGGATGAGGACAGTGAGGATGAGGACAGTGTGGATGAGGACCGTGAAGATGTGGACAGTGAGAATGAGGACAGTGATGACAGTGTAGATGAGGACAGTGAGGATGAGGACAGTAGGATGAGGACAGAAAGGTTACGGACAGAGAGGACAGTGTGGATGGGAACAGTGAGGAATAGGGCAGTGTGGATGAGGACAATGAGAATGAGGACAGTGAGGACGGTGTGGATGAGGACAATGAATATGAGGACTGTGTGGATGAGGACAGGGGGGATGAGGACAGTGAGGACAGTGTGGATGAGGGTAGTGTGGATAAGGACAGTGTGGATGAGGAAAGTGAGGGCAGTGTGGATGAGGACAGTTAGGACAGTGTGGATGAGGACAGTGAGGATGAGGACTGTGAGGACAGTGTGCATGAGGACAGTGATGATGAGGGCAGTAAGGACAGTGTGGATGAGGACAGTGAGCATGAGGACAGAGATGACAGTGTGGATGAGGACAGTGAGGATGAGGACAGTGAGGACAGTGTGAATGGGGACAGTGAGGATGAGGACAGTGTGGATGAGGACAGTGAGGACAGTGTGGATGAGAACATTGAGGATGAAGAGAGTGAGGACATTGTGGATGGGGACAGTGAGGATGAGGACAGTGTGGTTGAGGACATTTAGGACAGTGTGGATGTGGACATTGAGGATGAGGACAGTATGGATGAGGAGAGTGTGGATGAGGACAAGGAGGCCACTATGGATGAGGACAGTGAGTATGAAGACAGAGAAAATGAGGACAGTGTGGATGACAACAATAAAAATTAGGACAGTTAGCACGAGGACAGTGAGGTAGAGGACAGTGAGGATGCGCACAGTGAGTACAGTGTGGATGAGGACAATGAGGATGAAAACAGTGTGGATGAGGACAGTGAGGATGAAGACAGTGAGGATGAGGACAGTGAAGACAGTGCGGATGAGAACAGTGTGGACAGTCTGTATGTAGACATTGAGGATGAGGACAGAATGCATGAGGACAATGTGGATAAGACCAGTGATGCCATTGAGGATGAGGACAGTGAGGATAGTGAGAATGAGGACAGTGGAGACAGTGAGGATGAAGACAGTAACAGTGAGGACAGTGAGTACAGTGTGGATGAGGACAGTGTGGATGAGGACAGTGTGGATGAGGACAGTGAGGACAGTGTGGATGAGAACAGTGAGTATGAGGACAGTGTGGATGAGGACAGTTAGGATGAGGACAGTGAGGACATTGAGGATGAGGACAGTGTGGTTGAGGACAGTGAGGACAGTGAGGATGAGGACAGTGAGGATGAGGACAGTGTGGATGAGGACATTGAGGACAGTGTGGATGAGAACAGTGACAATGAGGACAGTTAGGGTGAGCACATTGAGGACAGTGAGGATGAGGACATTGAGGATGAGGACGTTGTGGATGAGGACAGTTAGGACAGTGTGGATGAGGTCAGTGAGGATGAGGACAGTGTGGATGAGGACAGTGTGGATGAGGACAGTGTGGATGAGGACAGTGAGGATGAGGACAGTGAGGACAGTGTAATGAGGACAGTGACAACAGTATGGATGAGGACAGTGAGGATGAGGACACTGAGGACATTGAGGATGAGGACAGTGTGGATGAGAACAGTGAGGACAGTGTGGATTAGGACAGGGAGGATGAGGACAGTGAGGACAGTGAGGACAATGTGGATGGGAACAGTGAGGAGACTGAGGATGAAGACAGTGAATATGAGGACTGTGAGTACAGTATGGATGATGACAGTGTGGATGAGAACAGTGAGGATGAGGATAGTGAGGATGAGAACAGTGTGGTTGAGGACAGAGAGGGTAAGGAGAGTGAGGATGAGGAAGTGAGGAAAGTGTGCATGAGGACATTGAGGACAGTGAGGACAAGGACAGAGAGGACAGTGTGGATGAGGACAGTGAGGACAGTGAGGATGAGGACAGTGTGAATGAGGACAGTGTAGATGAGGACAGTGAGGATGAGGACAGTGTGGATGAGGACAGTGAGGATGAGGACAGTGAGAATGAGGACAGTGTGGATGAGGACAGTGAGGATGAGGACAGTGAGAATGAGGACAGTGTGGATGAGGACAGTGAGGATAAGGAACGGTGTGGGTAAGGACACTGTGGATGAGGACAGTGAGGATGAGGACAGTGAGGACACTGTGGATGAGGACAGTGAGGATGAGGACAGTGTGGATGAGGACAGTGAGGATGAGGACAGTGTGGAGGAGGACAGTGTGGAAGAGGACAGTGAGGATGAGGACAGTGAGGACAGTGTGGATGAGGAAAGAGTGGATGAGGACAGTGAGGATGGTGTCTATGAGGACAGTGAGGACACTGTGGATGAGGACAGTGAGGATGAGGACAGTGTGGATGAGGACAGTGAGGATGAGGACAGTGTGGAGGAGGACAGTGTGGAAGAGGACAGTGAGGATGAGGACAGTGAGGACAGTGTGGATGATGAAAGAGTGGATGAGGACAGTGAGGATGGTGTGCATGAGGACAGTGAGGACAGTGTGGATGAGGACAGTGAGGATGAGGACAGTGAGGATGAGGACAGTGAGGACATTGAGGATGAGGACAGTGTGGTTGAGGACAGTGAGGACAGTGAGGATGAGGACAGTGAGGATGAGGACAGTGTGGATTAGGACAGTGAGGATGAGGACAGTGAGAACAGTGTGGATGAGGACAGTGAGCACAATGTGGATGAGGACCGTGGGGATGAGGACATTGAAGATGAGGACAGTGTGGATGAGGACATTGAGGATGAGGACAGTGAGGATGAGGACAGTGTGGATGAGGACAGTGAGGATGAGGACAGTGTGGATGAGGACAGTGAGGATGAGGACATTGAAGATGAGGACAGTGTGGATGAGGACATTTAGGACAGTGTGGATGAGAACAGTGAGGATGAGGACATTGAGGACAGTGTGGATGAGGACGAAGTCGATGAAGACGGTGAGGATAGTGAGGATGAGGACTGTGAGGACAGTGTGGATGAGGACAGTGAGGATGAGGACAGTGTGGATGAGGACAGTGAGGATGAGGACATGAGGATGAGGACAGTGTGGATGAGGATAGTGAGGATGAGGACAGAGAGGATGAGGACCTGAAGATGAGGACAGTGAGGATGAGGACAGTGAGGACAGTGTGGATCTGGACAGTGAGGATGAGGACAGTGTGGATGAGGACAGTGAGGACAGTGTGGTTGAGAACAGTGAGGATGAGGAGGTTGAGGGCATTGTGGATGGGGACAGTGAGGATGAGGACAGTGTGGTTGAGGACATTGAGGACAGTGTGGATGTGGACATTGAGGATGAGGACAGTATGGATGAGGCCACTATGGATGAGGACAGTGAGGATGACAACAGTAAAAATTAGGACAGTTAGTATGAGGACAGTGAGGATGAGGACAGTGAGGTTGCGCACAGTGAGTACAGTGAGGATGAGGACAGTGAAGACAGTGTGGATGAGGACAGTGAGGACAGTCTGGATGTAGACGTTGTGTATGGGGACAGTGAGGATGAGGACAGTGTGGTTGAGGACATTGAGGACAGTGTGGATGTGGACATTGAGGATGAGGACAGTGTGGTTGAGGACATTGAGGACAGTGTGGATGAGGACAGTGAGGATGAAGACAGTGAGGATGAGGACAGTGAAGACAGTGTGGATGAGGACAGTGAGGACAGTCTGGATGTAGACATTGAGGATGAGGACAGTATGGATGAGGACAGTGTGGATAAGGCCAGTGAGGCCATTGAGGATGAGGACAGTGAGGACAGTGAGGATGCGGACAGTAAGGACAGTGAGAATGAGGACAGTGGAGACAGTGAGGATGAATACAGTGACAGTGAGGACAGTGAGTACAGTGTGGATGATGACAGTGTGGATGGGGACAGTGAGGATGAGGAGTGTGAGGACAGTGAGGATGAGGATAGTGTGGATGAGGACATTGAGGATGAGGACAGTGAGGATGAGGACAGTGTGGATTAGGACGGTGTTGATGAAGACAGTTTCGATATGAACAGTGATGTATTGGGAGAGTATCAACAACACAAGTTGGAATTATGACCGTGTTAGGGGAGTGTATGGAACGGGCAGCAGTGTTGTAGCTATAAGCAAAGGCACTGTGGTATAAAACTCTGTGACTCTCAGGCCATTTGTCAGTGATTAGCACAGTTTAGAAAAGGGTAAATTCAGATGGGGAGGCAAGGGTGTCACAGTGTGCCAAACTCTGGCGTTTAAATATAAATGCAACTGCTGCAGCTCCGTTGAAAGCCATGAGGTGACTGCGTTTGTATTTCCTTAGGAATCACTGACAGAAACAGTGAAGCTGTGTAGGAAGGAGCAAGATGGAGGCTCAGGGGCCCACTGTATTTCAGTCAAAAGGAGGAAGTAGCTGATTGGTGTTTGTAACAGGAAACCCTGCGCCCAATGCCTAGAAATACCTAAGGCAGTTCAAGCACTGATGTTCAAGAAGATGTCAAAGAATCAAGCCAAAGCACACTTACTTTTGTAGTGTGGCGGGGCAGCATCTTGCACCTGGATTATCACACTGTACTTATTGCCAGCTGCTAGGTTGCTTGGATTTTCATAATTTAGATCACCAATTAACTAGGTCAAAACAGATAATAGATTCCACAGGATAAGCAGTCATATCATTGGGGTGACAAATCGGTTTTCATACAGTTAGTGAATTTGTAAATTGCCAACATCCTTTAGAAAACCATTTGCTGGGGTGTTTATGGAGCTTTGAGATATGGCCATTCTCTGGTGTAGCTAGAGAACTTACTCAGAAGAATTTAGCAGAGGAGAAAAATCTGTCTCCAAAAATGTCTGCCTAGCTAGCACAATTGCCCAACAAACAAGGTTCATGCCATCGTATCAGTTAAGGAAAGTAGAAAATGAAGTCCTTTACATAGAATAGTTTCCATTATTTAGCATGCTTATACAAATATATATAGAGATACATAAAACCACATAGAAAAGAAAAATATATCAAAATGTTGACAATATTTGCTCCTATCTGGTGATGTTCAACAGTGTTTTCTACAATTTAAATAGTGGATATAAACCAAGAACCTAAGAAAAGTGTGAATTTCCCCAAATCACAATCAGGTTGTTTTTTATGACTTTTTGTAAGGGACTGAAGGTAGCTGGAGATAGGCAGTAGGTACAAAAGGAGGTAGGCTGAGGAGAAAGGGGGCGGGCAGCTTGCTGTCATCGCAGAGGCCTGTGGGAAAGACCCCTGGAGACCTCGGCATGCCCTTCCTTCTTGGTGTTCTCCTGTGCCCTGCGGCAGGAGCCCAGTAGGAACTGACGCCACACACCTTGCTGAGCCCCTATCAAGCCCATCCCCCCAGCCCTAGCCCTGCCTTTGCTCCTAAGTGCACTTTCCACCCCTCCTTGCTGTAGTCTCTGTGGGGTCTCTGGTGGCTCTGTGATGCAGAATCTATCAAGATGGCACTGAAGGGCCTCATTCGAGGAATGAGCACTCAAACAGCAGAAGAGCTTGTGCACAGAGGGCGCCGCCACATCTGCAAAGGCTCGCTAAACAGGCGTGCAAATGGCTCGCTAAGTAGGCGTGCAAACGGCTCACTAAGCAGGCGTGCAGATGAAAGGCACCTGCAGATCAGCCTCTAGCAGCGCTCTGCATAAGGAACGATGCTTAAGGAAGCCTGAGGGAAATAAAGAGCTGACAGGAACACACAGCCACTGTTAAGTCTGTCAGTTACTGTGGTTCTGAGGGGAGGCTGCCTTCTCTCTGCAGGGTAGCAAAAGTGCCATGCATGCTGGAATAGCTTCCCCAGTGTCCTTTTAAAGAGGCAGTTGATGTGGGAAGTCCTGTTATTTGTCAATAAAGCACTGCTGGCCAGTAGGAATCTAGATAGGTGGGACTAGGAGTCCAGGAGGACTCTGGGAAGGAGAAACACAAGATTCAAGATGTAACGCCATGGGGTAGGAGCCCGGAACTATTCTCCAGTAAGAGACATACTTAGATTAACAATTATGGGGTAATTACTTAAAGCGGAGCTAGCCAGTAAGAAACAAGCAAGGCCAACAGCTTCCTAATTAATATAGCCTCCTGTGTGTTTATTTGGGACTGATGCGGCTCTAGAACCAGGCTGGCGGGAAGACTCCTCTCAAGGAAAAAGCTTCTCTTTACAGGCAATGACCGTGAACTGACCACAATTCTCCCAGAGCCGGGTGGATGCTGTGAGAATCTGCTGCTGCTCCCCACTCCAGATGGCGTGGTAAAGTTGAATTTGTTGTTTGGTGCTTCACTGTCATCGTCAAAGCAGAACTTGTTCAGGTCCAAAAGCAGCGTTCCATTGGCTGCTCTTTCAGCCAACATAATGCTGGAAAAAAGATACAATTCAATATTTTCCTCTAACAAATGGCGAAAATCAGCCTTCAGACCCAAGCTGAGGCTGGATACCTCTACTACATATTCAATTCCACGGGTCCTTACTGCTCTCACCACTTCTGCCCTTGAGTCCTTCCGGTCTGTGTCTAACACAGTGTCAGGTTATGGCAGCCTGCTCCTGAGGACATCTCAACTTTGGACCACAGGACTCTCCTCAGCTTCTCCCACCTCATCTCCCTGCCCTCGTTGCTCCTTGTTTGCCCTCCTCCCACCAGAGCAGGAAGCCCCTCAGAGGGGCCACCAAGGCTCTAGCCCCAGGCACTACTCTGGAATGCCCTTCCCACAAATCTCCAGTGTGTTCCTCAGAGTCCTGTGTACCAAAGCTCAGTGTCTCTCACAACCAAAGTATCCTCCTATATTCCACAACCTCTTCTTGTGACTGCTAAAATGAACTTTGGATCAGCAGCTATGGAGCAAGGATTGTGTTAAGCTGTGGCCAGTAAGATCATCTGCTTGCTAAAGAGACCTGTGTCCCTGTGTCTCCACAAGGCCACCCTGGCAGAAAGCTTCTGCCATTTGCTTCTGCCTTCACTGTCCAATGCCATGGTTTTAGTCATCAGTTCTTCAAACAGGGACCACTTATTAAATACTAACTGTGTGTTCTTTCACATTAACAAAAAGAAAAATGCTCTCCTGCATCTCCAAGAGTTTTGTGCACGTGTCCTCATCTGACAGGGGAGCAAAGAGTAGTTTGGAGGGGGGGGTCAAGGCTTGTCTAAGACGGTTAAAGCCTCCAGACATGGTTTCTCACTGTCTGTGTGAAGGTCATTGTAAAGCTAAGTTCCTGTGATGGGGCAAGACAGCACAGAGCTTCCTCCACCGTGTGCTCTTCCCTGGTTTAACTACAATCTGATTTCCTTGACGGAGAATCCCGTGCAAAGTTACCCAACTCTGGAGGAACCCAAGGTCAATGTCCTTGGGTTATCTTAGCTTCTGTTAAAACTACTTGCTTCACAAAGAACTCGGTGGACAAGACAAAACGGCTCCCTACAGAATGAGAAAAGATCTTCACCAACCCAACATCTGATAGAGGGCTGATCTCCAAAATATACAAAGAACTCAAGGAACTATAAATCAAACTACCACATAATCCAGTTTAAAAATGGGGTACAGATCTAAACGGAGAATTCTCAGCAGAACAATCTCAAAAGGCAGAAAGACACTTAAGGAAATGCTCAACATCCTTAATCAGCAGGGAAATGCAAATCAAAACCACTCTGAGATTCCATCTTACACCGATCAGAATGGCTAAGATAAAAAACACCAATGACAGCTTATGCTGGAGACGATGTGGAGAAAGGGAGACACTCCTCCATTGCTCGTGGGAACACAAACTTGTACAGCTGCTGTGGAAATCAATATGGCAATTTCTCAGAAAACTAGGGATCAACCTACCTCAAGACCCTGCAATACCACTGTTGGGCACATTCATACCTCAAGGACATTTGCTCAGTTATGTTCATAGCTACATTATTTGTAACGGCCAGATCTTGGAAACAACTTAGATGCCCCTAAACTGAAGAATGGATAAATAAAATGTGGTATATTTACACAATAGAGTACTACTCAATGCTAAGAAACAATGGCATCCTAAAATTTGCAGGCAAATGAATGCATCGAACTAGAAAAAAAACATCCTAAGTGAGGTAACCCAAAACCAGAAAGACAAATATAGTATGTACTCACTCATAAGTGGATACCAGACATTAAGCAAAAGATACCCAGCCTACAATTCTTAACCTCAGAGAAGCTAGAACCCTCTTTCAGAAACAGATGGAAGCATATGCATAAATTCACAACTAACCAATGGGCCAAGCTCCTGGAGTACAATCAAAGTGAGGGAGGAGTAATAATATGAACAAAGGAGTCAAGACCATGATGGGGAAACCCACAGAATCAACTGACCCGAGCTAGTGAGAGATCACTGACTCAGGTCTGACAAACAGGGAACCTGTGTAAGACTGAACTAGACTTCCTTCATATAGGTGACAATGGTGTGACTGAGACAATATATGAGGCCACTGGCAGTGGGTCCAAGATGTAACTCTAATGTACAAACTGACTTAATTCGATATGGAGAGATACCTTGGTGTGGGGGTGGGGAGGTGCCTTGGTCCTGCCTCAGTGAGATGATGGGACAGATTTAGTAGACTTCTTATGGGAGGCCTCACCCTCTCTGAGGAGCAGATGGGAGGAGGGGGGAAGGAAGGATGGAAAGGAGGGAGGGGGAACTGGGATGAGAATGTAAAAAAAAATTAAGAAAAAGTAAAAACAAAAAACCAAAACAAAATCTGCTTGCTTCAAACTGCTTACTTTTGCAAAGCTCTCAAGGTGGAGGACATGGTTTCTACTTTTTAAAAACCCATGTTCTGGACACTTGGGGCTCTACCCAGGTTCCTGAACACTTGAATGTGGTCCCAGTCACTAGATAAAGACTTTAAATTGTCTGAACACGATGCCTGAGTGATCATCTCTGGTGAACTCCCCAGTAACACAATCAATACATAATTATATCTAGGCCATGGATGTTTGTGGACCTAAGCTTTGATTACACACTGTGGACCTAGGAGAGTGTGTCACCTGAAGAATTCAGGATCCTGGTGCCAGAGTGCACACATGCACATTCTCTCTCACACACACACTCTCTGTGTCTCTCTTTCTCTGTCTCTGTGTGTGTGTCCGTCTGTCTCTCTGGCATCTCTTTCTCTGTGTATCTCTCTGTGTCTGTTTGTGTGTCTCTCTGCTCTGCTCGCGCGCGCATGCGCGTGCGCGCGCGCGCGTGTGTGTGTGTGTGTGTGTGTGTGTGTGTGTCTGTCTGTCTGTCTGTCCCTCTGTCTCTCTCTGTCTTTCTGTCTCTCTCTTTCTCTGTGTCTGTGCTCAGGCTGTCTGTGCTGCTGAAGATATAACTGCTAGACAAGAAGTAAGCAGCATCAGCAGTTTTGACATGCTCTTCTCATTGTTCTCTGACACTTGGCCCTTTTCCCACAAGCATGTGTCTTGGAAAGCCACTCCCCCTCATGTATCAGTCCCTGCCTCCAAGGGGAGCCCCTTCTCCCCTCACAGCCATCAGATCATGTGCCCTCTGCACACAAAGGTGACTACCCAACCGCTTTGTGGATCTCCTCCTGTTCATGGACAGTTTGCAAAGCACATTCAGCCAAGAGCTGGACAATTTACAACATGAGCAGAGGCCACCTCGCTGCCTTTGATGCCTCTGCTGGAGCCTGGGCCCATTCATCATCAACCTGGGATTGCCACAGCTTCTCCAGGCTGTCCTGTCCCACCCACCCGCAGCCTCTGGGCCTCCAACTATCACACAGCTGCTCTTAACGATTGCTGGCACCCAACCCTCCCACTCTCCAGCCCATCTGCAAAACTTTCAAGTCACAACGCTCTAGTGTAAATGTCAGTGACTGTGCAGCTCCAGTCCCGTGGTTTTGTTTTGCTTTCATGCTTGGCATTGTAATGACTGGGATGGAGAAGGGATCAAGGATGGGGTGGTGGATACGTGGGCAACACTTCTCGGTCTCTCAGATCTGTATGTTCAACATCATGGACACGCAGACTGAGCTCCTGAAGTGAAGATTTCCACTTTGCAGCTCAAAGAAAGGGATCCTCTCACAGACAACCTCACTTTCAGGCCTTCAACAGCCCAGCTGGGAGTTACCCTCTTTGGAAAAACCTGGGGGCAATGACTCCATTGTTTAGAACTATCTTCAGAAATGAATGTAATTAGCACAGTTACTGATGGACTTCAGGGCTAGCTAGAGCAGGACTCTGTGGGCTTGCCTGGTAGACCTATGACATTCAAATTACCATTTCACCAGGTAGTATATAACACAGTCTGCAAACTGTCCTACCACCTCAGGGAACTATAGACCACAGAAAGCCAGAATATTTGATGAACAGATATGAGAAAAAGACAGAACAAAGAGGCTTGAGACAGCACAGTCTGCTCCAGACACCAATAGCCCTCCAAGTAGAGGAACAAAGAGTCAGAAGGCTTAGGATAAAAAGTAAATTTCCCAGGATGCACTGGGGCCATTTCAGAGAGCTATCGTAAATGAAGATTCTCAAGAGAAGTGGATGACTGCAAAAACGTTGTTCCATCTACAGGCCCACACTTCCTTTAGCAGACTATGGGATTTACACTGTGCCTGTGTTGGTGTGGAAATCACATCCTAATGTCCATGGCACCTATTCCTGCCCATAAGAGACTGAACATCCGGAATGTTCAAGTTTGGAAAGTGATCTGCAACATGGTCCAGCCTGTGACTGGGTAAACCAGGTCTCAGCAGGAAGCAGACAACAAATGAGGAAAATTCTAGGAGATTTAGTAAACAGATGATTACAAAGGGTATTTGGGTGTGTGAAGAAATTTTAAGGGCTGATGCATTTCTCAGGGCTAGTAAGAGTAGAGCAGCTGGGCCGGACGGTGGTGGCGTACACCTTTAATCCCAGCACTCGGGAGGCAGAGGCAGGCGGATCTCTGTGAGTTCAAAGCCGGGCTAGACCGATAGCCTCCAAAACAATACAGAGAAACCCTGTCTCGTAAAAACAAAAAAAAAAAAAAAAAAAAAAAAAAAGAGTAGAGCAGCTGGTTGTGGTGGTACATGCCTTTAATTCCAGCACACTGGAGGCAGAAACAGGTGAATCTCTATGAGGTCAAGGCCAGCCTGGTCTACAAAACAAGTTCCATGACAGTCAGAGCTACACAGAGAAACCCCATTTTCACTCCCCACCCCACACCCCCCACACACACTCAGTGTGGATCATCCTTGCGATGCAGAGTCTGGGAAGTTCCTGTGGAGGAAAACTGTGAAAGGGAGGGAGTTGATAAACCCCCAGCTTCACTCTCTTTATTTCCTTTTTGAGAGCTCCCCACTGGTCAGGAGAACATAAATTGCAAGGAAAGTAGTAGGCAACCTTGCTGGATCTGAGATGTGTCCAGGACAGATTCTAAGCCATCACACTGATCCTCAAGCACTGAGTAGAGTGTGTAAATTTGAAAATGGAGGGCTGGTCATATACATAACAAATGAACTTAATAGCTATCCCTTACCCTGGACAGTCTTTGTCTAGGGCTGTTCATTGCAGCACAATAAATAAAAGATTGATATTCCAATATTCAAGTTGAATATCAGAAAAACAAAACAGCTGGCCACCAGCTTCTTACCTCTACCTCAGGCTAAATGGGCTGAGCCTGTCTCCACAAGCTCTCACCAAGCCTCAGACTGTAACTCTCCTCAGGGTGACTGGAGAATGAGTATCTGATACTGACTACTGAAGATCCTGTTTCTATCTTTTATACCCCTCTAGTGCTGGGATTAAAGGCATGTGATCTATTACTCTTTTAGACTCATTCAGTATCACGTATCCCTGGGTGGTCTTAAACTCATAGAGATCCATCTATCTCTTGTTCCTGAATCCTAGGATTAAATCTGTGTAGCTCCACCTCCTAGATTCTGGCTGCTGGGATTAAAGGTGTGTTGTTGGGAGACGTCATTCTGTAAATATGTGTCTGATTGGTTTAAATAAAGCACTGTTAGCCAATAGAGAAACAAGATAGGTGGGACTAGGAGTCTAGAATGATTCTGGGAAACATAGTGAAGAGATGGGTTACCATATGATCTCCCAGGAGAAATGGACGCAGCAGGAGTACATCCTCATAACAATAAGTCCTTATAAAATATATATATTAGTAATTATGGGTTAATAATCAAGTCAGAGCTAGACAATAAGAAACCAAGCAAATGGCCAACAACTTCATAATTAATATAGTGTCTTGTGTGTTATTTGGGGGCTAAAAGAGACAGCAGGACCCAGGTGGTGGGCAGGAAGACTACACATTACAGTGTGTGTCGCCAGTGCATGATCAGCTTAAGGCTGACTTTGCTTTTCTGAATCCTCAGGCAAGCTTTAATAAATCACAAATAATATATCACTACACATCTTTTGCACAGCCATGCTATGTACTGTATCTGTCCAAAGTCACCTGGAGCAAACTTGAAAACCCAGTCAAGGTAACCCAAGAGACTTTGCCTACTGGGTCATCAAAACAGGCCTGTTCCGATCTCCAGCCTTACTTTAGATGCAGGACACTCTGTCCACAAAGGTCATTTCTGAGACACACCCCACCCCATTCAGACCTCCAAAGACTGACTAGCATAGAAACCACGGAACTGAAGGTGCTATGGAAGAATTCCCACTCTGTGGCTTTCTGTCAAAATAGCTATGGCTTCAGAAAAGAAAAAGCATAGTAACTAGGAATCAAAAAGGTCTTTGAAGGGCTGAAGTGAAGACTCAGAGTTTCAGAGCACTTGATGGTCATCCAGAGGACCTGGGTGCAGCTCCTAACATCTGTGTGGAGGCTCACAGCTGAGTGTGTGTTCACAACTCTTGTTCTGTGGAGCTGAGTGTTCACAACTCCTGTTCCAGGGGCTGATGCCCTCTTCTGACCTCTGCAGGCACCAGGCATGCATACATGCAAGCAAAATACTAACACATGTAAAGTAAAAATAAATAATTATTAAAGAACTTTTAAAAATCATTGTGAATTAATTGTGAGTCAAAGGACAAGTAAATATATATAATAACTCATGTTGTATATGCACCTGTATTTCACCTATATGCAATTAAGTTATAGAAGGTGAATTAGATGTTTGTTTTACCCAAGTACTTGGTTTGGTTTATTTGTATTATTTACTTACTGTGAGTGTCTTTGGGAGGTCCTAGTTACTAATCCTGACTCCATTATAAGTGATAACTGCACTGTCTTACCTCTGGTGGCAATAAATAGAAAGACAGGGACTGTGGTGCAAGTGGAATGAAATTTAAAAATAACTATAAACACAGAAAGTAGAAAAGAGAAATAATGAAGAGGGAAGAAAATGAAAGAGGAAGGAAAAGAATAACAAAAAGGCATTTGAACAAAATGGGAAACTTTGAATCTGCTTGTGGAAAGTCATTTCCCCGATGCCATCGTATATCAGAGAAGCCCAGAGGTCAAGGGCCACTCAAGAGGGAATGCATTTCAATACACGAGTACCTGAAGGTGAGCTTTCTGCATGTTGCAGGGTTGTCATTGATGTCTTCCACAGTGATGGTTATCTGGATGCGGTTCTCCTGACCCCCAGAGGGTCTGTCCCTCACCAGAACTTCCAGTGATATTATGGGATTTTGTCTCAGTTCACCTGTATCTCTATCTAGTCTGTGGGCCACTTGGATTGTCCCAGTCACTAAGAAGACAAAGATTAGAAGTCAAATGAAGAATAAGTCACAGGGACATGGAAAACACAAGGAAAGACTGATCTAGAATAATGACTGTCCTACCCTGGGAGTAGACCTATATAGACGTATCTCTGTAAAATCATATGCATTTTTGAATTTGACACCATTGAATGCCTGACCTGACCCTGCTCTAAAGCCACACATTAGACTTCAGGGTTGAGCCCTGGGCAGAACTGACAAAACTGGGGGATAGCTGCCTTCAATTATTGGATATTCCGTTGCTAAGAAACAGGTACTGTTTCTTAGAATGAGTGAGGCTACCACTGAGTGCAGGTGAAAGCCCAGAACTCGAGTTGCTGAGACCCTTGGAGCAGTGCTGGTTCAAGCCCTCCTCTGTCCTGATGAGATGGCCTCCCCTCCCCTCCTCCACCCTGATGAGATGGCCTCCCCTCCCCTCCTCTGTCCTGATGAGATGGCCTCCCCTCCCTCTCCTCCACCTCCCTCCTCTCCTTTCTTCTTCTCCTCCTTTTCCTAGTCTCATGCTTAGCTTGATTTGCTTTCATTTTTATTACTTGAAACCAGTCTTAATTTAAACACTCAAAAAAGGAGGGTGTGGGAATATAGCTCAGATGTAGTATTGGTCTCATATGGACAGCGTTCTGCATTCAATCCCCAGCACTCATGTGTGTGTGTGTGTGTGTGTGTGTGTGTGTGTGTGTGTGTGTGTGTGCGTGCGTGCACGCGTGTGTTTGTTAAAAGTTCATTTTTGCAACACTGGAGTAAACCAAGGTCATCTATCCCTACACTCTTAGCTATGTGAGGTTGTCAATATCAAAAGCCTTCAGTTGTTTCCAGAGATAGATCCCAGGTGTTGACTTTGCATGCCCAGCATTTCCTAGGCCCAGACAAGGTGTACTCAAAAGCCATTGACACATGGTCTGATTTCCACAAAGGCATTATTTAAAGTGAAGTTCAACAGGCTGATGTGGCCTGGATTTACAGAGATGGGCCAGTATAGTGGCTAAGAGGACAGGCACGAGAATCATCTGACTTGGCCATCCAAGTCCCCCTATGACCTGGGGACCTTGAGGAAGTCACTGAACCTGTCTAGGTATCTCTCTAGCTCTTGATTTTCCTTTGTAAACTGGGTGATGTTAATTCATTGGGAAGGAATGTGTGCAGCTGCACCGCATAAGTACAAAGTCTCCACTAGGTGGGCATTACAGAGGGGAGGAAGTTCATTCTCTGCACTAGGCCGCTCATATGGGATCATAACTGCCAACCACCTAGTAAGCTGATCTACAGAGACACTGTCCAATGCATCACCATTAGCCACAAGTAGCTACTTAACCCCTGAAATGGGGGCAGCCTGATTTGAGATATGCTTTAAGTATAAAATATACAATAATCTTCCAAACAAAAGAATGTAAAATATCTCAATTACTTTTAAAGATTAATTGTGCTGTAATTACAATATGTTGGATCTTAAGAGCAATTTCATTTTTTAGTGCAACTACTGAAGACATTGAAATTACACATCTGTCTTCATTCTACTTCAGAGGTCACATTATTCTTCACTTCTGAATCTTTAGAAGTGTGTTGCTAGGGCAGGCAACTCAAGCAGCTTTCCAGGCCCACCTTCCTGAGAGTGATGAGGCACAGGACCACCCCACAGCATGGCAGCCTGACACGCGAGATGACAGCAGAAGCAGGAGAGCCTCTCTGCCTTTATCCTGTCCTCCCCTGGAGAAAGCCATCAGACCTTCGATGGGGGGATATTCACTTATTGTTTGATGAATAAAACATTGATTGGCCAGTAACCAGGGAGGAAGTATGGGCGGAGCTAACAGGCGAGGAGAATTCTGGGGAGAAGCACAGAGGGGCCACAGAAGACTCATAGCCGCTGAAGGAGTAACATGCTGGAGCATTCCCTGCTAAACCAAAACCACATGGAAATACACAGATTAGTAGATATGGGTTAATAATTAAGAGAGAGCTAGCCAATAAGAAGCCTGAGCCATAATTAATTAATATGAGACTCTGTGTATTTATTTGGGGCTAAAGGTTTGCAGAACCTGGTAGGACAGAAACCCTGTCTACAGGCCTTCATTTGAGAGATTTGCGCTCAGATGTAAGCATCACCATCTAGGACAGACACACCTGAACACCAGGGCTCACACAGTTTACTCCACTTTTAGAAACTTTGTCCTCCAATCATATTTATCCATTTACTTTCTCATAAACACTGGTATAAAAAAATGCAATTTTCCAGACAGGTCTGGTGGTTAATGTCTGTAACTCCAGTATTCAAGGGGCTGAAGCGGAGGATTGCATGAGTTGGTATATAGCAAGTCAGAGCTACATACCAAGACCTTGCCAGAAAAAAAATATTGTGCTGTGGTGACACACACCTTTAATACCAGGACTCAGGCCATCCTGGTCCAAAGAGCAAGTACCAGGACAGTCAGGGCTACACAGAGAAACCCTGTCTCAAAAAACAAATAAACCAAAAAAAAAACATTAAATACAATTTCTCTGGTGTCTTTGAGTCTTCATTTCCATAGAGAGATATCTGAGTTCTATTTTTAGGAATTTCAACCTTAATCTTCATGTTAGTTAAGAAATTAAATTCATCCCCCTCCATAAACGTGACAGGTGACCCAGCTATTCACACTCAGCCCTCTTCAGGCTCCACAGTCTTTGGCAGTGTCTCATGCCTTTAATACATCCTTTCCCTGAGGCTGAACCTGGACCGAAAGGCAGGCCAAGAGAGGAAGACAGCATTGCAAAAGCATGGGAGCAGCTGCACTAGAGGATGCAGGATGACTCACGCTGGTCTATCACAAAGTAGCTGCTGGTGGCGGGGATGCTGTAGAGGAGGTGGCCAGGCAGGCCCTCGTCATCAGGATCCTCTGCGGTGATGTTCGCCACAATGGTTCCTGGACGCACTTCCTCGGGAATGGAGTACTCTCTCCTGGGACTGAAACAAAAATACTGCAGGAGTGGCTGGCTAATTTGCAGGGGTAGGGGAGGGTGCAGATCGGGCAGTAGGTATTCTGGTGTGTGCTAACTATAGCACTGCATTGCTTGAGTTGCATCAACATGCAGAAAACCCAGCTGAAAGGAGGGGTGACTGGCATCTTTATTTCCAAAGATCACATCCTCATGGATGCCAACAGGTGTGCCAAGCTTTTCCTACATTGGGCACAGCCACTGACTACCTGCCTGATACCTTTACCTATCATGAACAGTCTCGCACAACACACTTCTCTTACCTGGTCAGCTTCTCTCCTCTGAGTTTCTGATCCTTGTAAAGACCCCATCTAGACACGATGTTCAGAACTGCAGGCTTCCTCATCCTATGGAATCTGACAGAATCCCAATACTGTGCCTTCTAGCATCTCTAGTCTATTTCTTCTGCTGCATTTGCCTGAAGACACTCTTCCCCGTGGAACTTGGGCATCTCTCCAGGCAGTGCTCACTCCGAGGTCAGCTCTCTAAACTGAGAAGCCCTTGGCACATGTCATGGCACTGTTCTCCAAGGAACACTGTGTCTACCAGAACTCCAAGTGCCCAGCTCACACACCTTTCTCAGGCCTCCATGCTTTTGTAGAAGACCAGTAGTAAGATCATTTCAGAATGGCAGAGCCACCTTTAATTTTCCTGTTTCCTAAGGCGCCATTTCCCCCAGCTGTCCCTCCTTGAAGGGAGGCAGTCTTCATCTCAGCTCTAAACGCCCTTGTGTTGGGGGCTCAAGCTACTCTGCTGCCCCTAGCTCACCACTACTGTCCCACTGCGTGTGCCACAGGAACCAGACACAAGACAGGACCTGTGGCTGGCCTCAAGAGAAGCAGAGACAACCTGTAGCCAGGTCTTCACCCTAGCCTACCACATGGGCCCTGCCCCAAATCCTGGGCCCAATATCATCCATGTACCCCATTGTTGGGAAGGAGTTAGCTTGTTTTGTGCAAGGTCACTCCAGGGCATGGGTCTCCCTGCCCTGTGACCCACTCTTTCTCACTTGCAATATCCCTTCTCAGAGTATGTGACATTAGTGGGTGGAGCCAGAAGAGCCAGGGGGGCAGCAAGGACCAGACACAGAGTCAGATGAGAGAGACAGTCTTGTCTTCACAGCCAACAGAACCCTGTTTCTAATGCAGGATGGATTTTCTTCCATCCGCTAGATTGGGTCCAGTAACTTCCTAGCCAGGGCTACAAAGATGCTTGGTGGTCTGAAGGACAAAACGTCCCCATGGTTTCTGGCATTTGAATATTTGCTCCTCAGTTGCTTTGGGGGAACACTCAAGAGGTGTGGCATTGCTGGAAGAAGGCTTTCACTGGGGCAGGCCTTGAGGTTTCAAAGCACTCCCTTCCCAGCTTGATCTCTGCTTCCTGTTTGAGGTTAGAGACGTGTGCACCATGCTGTTGTTCTAGCTGCCATGTCTGCCTGGAATCCTGATTCCCTGCAGTGATGGGGATGGATCCTTACCTCTGCAACTGTTAGCCTCAAACACACCCTTTGTGTAAGTAGCTGTACCCATAATGCAACAGAAAAGTGAAACAAAGGTGCCCTGCTGCCTGCAAAGCCTTGTCCCAGCTTTCTGCATTGTTCCCCTAACCAGCAACACCAGCATCACCAGCGAGCTCAGACGAGATGCAGATCCCTGGAGGGAGAGCAGAGTGTACACTGAGACAGACAGGGATGTGCACACACTCTCCAGCATCAGAGGTGACAACTAGCCCCAGGCTGCCTAGGACAGAAACAAGGTACCATAGGAGGAATATGCCCTTTGAGGCAGTGATTCTGGGTGGTGTTGGGGGGGAAGATTCTATGCAGACACAACTTTTGGTTGTCACAACCTGGGGAAGGAACTGCTCTTCTCATGCTGAGGAGGATGCTGCTGAACAGACTCCTTCCATAGGACAGCCTTGTCACAGAGAAGCATTTAGTTCAAGTCAGGGTGTGAGTTTAAATCCTGCTCTGAAGCCTCCATAGTCCACACTGACTGTGCCAGGAACCCTTGAAAGAAACAGGGCTGACTGTTAGGGAGTGTGTCTCATTGCCCTCATGGTAAGCATGGCAGAAAATAAAGTTTTAGTATTTGATTTATGATTTATGTATATAAAAAAAGATTATCCAACAAAAGTCCAATTTCAGGTCTATGAAAACAGAGAGGGACTGGAGAGATGACTCAGCAGTTAAGAGCACTGGCTCTTCCAGAGGTCCTGAGTTCAATTCCCAGCAACACCGTGACTCACAACCATCTGCAATGAGATCTGGCACCCTCTTCTGGCCTGCAGGCAGACATGCAGACAGAAGACTGAATAACTAAGTAAATAAATAAATAGAAGACTAAGTAAATAAGTAAATTTAAAAACACAGAATAAATATGATTCTCATTCACATTGCCTAGTCAGCCCCGCTCTGACTGCCAGAGCTCAGGACAACAGTGCCGGAGGGGGATGGTTATCAAATTCCCTGTGTTGATTGGGTAACTTCCTCCCTGTTAATGAGTACCCAAGAAGGCATTGCCAGGCACCCCTTATGAGAGGACTTCAGTGACTACAAAGGGAGCAGGCAGAGGGAGGAAGATACTGCCGACAGCTGAAATACAGTGCTCTCTGTCAGCACCGCACACAGGGAGTAAGCATGTTCCGGATTTTCACCCTCCAGTGGCCACAGCCTCCCAGCATACACAGCACACCCACAAAGCGGTCAGACAGACATCCGTCTCCACTCAAGCATGAAATGAGGCGACAGTCTCAGCAACAGAAGCAGCACTTGCTGCGGTGTCCTTAACTAGACAAAGACGATGAGCTGTTTCCACAGCCGCCGTGGCTGCCTCATGCTGGGACTTGGTATACCTGAGTCAAGTCAAAGATTTAATCTCCTATGGTTAGTGCTAGCAGAGGTGTCAGAGAAGAGAGATGGAGGAACCCAAGGAATCAGGCATGCTGTCAATGCAACGTCCAGTATGACTCCAAGTTTCTCCTTTCACTCCATGGCTGCTGAGGGACCGAGAGATCGTGACTGAACAGCCTGAGAAAAATGAGGCACGTCCTGGCCCACTCGCTTCTAGAGTGCAGGCTGCTCCTGCAGACACACCTTGAAATCATCCATGAACCCGGAAGCAAAGCCGATTCAGAGACTAAGAGGCCCATCTCTAAAACCACAAGTGAGAAGCACAGATGTCTGGAGCTGCCTCTGGGTGGCCACTTCCCCTCAATGCTAAATCACTTAGTGCCGTGTTTTAGACGACATGGCTCAAAGCAGAAGAGTGCCAGGGGAGGTCTCCTCCTCGGCATCCGTCAGTGTGCCTCGCAGTAGTACTTGTGGGAGTGTTTCCGGCTGTATGGGTGCCAACCCCACAGCTATCACCTTCCTAGATCTTTTGGTCCACAGAGCCTGAGTTTGAACTGGTGTATCACAACCATTTCTCAACCTACTGGTGTTTGTTTCTAGGCTGTCCCATCTGTAGAAATGCTGAGCTCTGGAGCCCAGCATCAGGCACTGATGGAAACACCCTGCGGAAGATGATTTGCAGCCTCCGTACCACAGCTGGAGCTGATGTCAGTGACCAGAAGTGTCTCCACTCTGCCGCGTCTGCAAAGCAGCAAAAGGTTAGCCTGGGAACAGAGTGGGCTTAATACCTCCCAGGCTTAAAACATGTTTGGTTTTGCACATGCTTGCATTTCTCGTGTATGCAGTACTCGTGCATATGGAAGCCAAAGAACACCCTTGAACGTCACTCCTCAGGGATGCCCACCCATTTCCTTTGTTGGGACGGGCTTTTCACCAAGGAGGCGTGGCTGACTGACCAGTGAGGCCCAGTTTGTCTTTCTCCCTCTCCCCAGCACTGGGATGGTAAGTGTGCAAGCATGCCCAGCTTTTTTGCATGGCTTTGGGGATTTGACACAATGAGCACTTTATCTACTAAACCTACTCTCCAGCCCTCTTAAAATATTTTTGTAAGCACTCTACCTTGGTCTCATGGTTGTGGCTGTTTCAAATATTTTCATCTTATTATATACATATATATCATATCTACAAATATATGTATAATATGCAAACATAATATAAATATATGATAACATATATTATATGTAATAAGAATAAATATTACATATGTAGTGTTTTTTTTTTGAGACAGGGGTTCTCTGCAAAGCCCTGGCTGTCCTGGAACTCGCTCTGTAGACCAGGCTGGTCTCGAATTCAGAGATCCATCTGCCTCTGCCTCCCGAGTGCTGCTATTAAAGGCGTGTACTACGACTGCCCAGCTTTTTTCAGTATTTTTAAAGATTTTGTTTTATTGTGCTTATGTCTCCGTGTGTGTTGTGAACACATGGGTGCAGGTACCTGAGAAGGCTGCTACAGAGTGTTGGCTCCCTGGGCTTCAAGTTACAGGCTATTACGAGCTGCCCGAAATAGGTGCTGGGTACTGAAAACTGAACTCTAGTCTTCATAACAGCAACAAGTCCTCTTTACTGTCGGGCCACCTCTCCAGCTCTGGTTCTAACTGACAAATAGTAACTAACTTTGTGCTGTTTTGTCGCAGTCTTTAAAGCTGCTGGCCTCCGAGCACAAGATGGTGCTGTTTTCCCTGTGGGTGGTGCCTGTGCCCACTGGGGGCAGCAGAGAGCCAGGCGCCTCTGAAGCTCATCTGCTGCCTGTAAACCCCATCTTATCTTCCTGAATCCTCGTGTGCAGCAGGCCGGGGATGGGGCCAGGTCCACACTCTTTCCCTCATCTCTACTGTATGAGGAGCAGGAGACACAGCCAGGTGTCTTTCTGGATCCACCAAGCCAAGAAGAAACTCTGGTATTCCAGTGGCCTTACGATACCAGTATGGACTTCAGGGTTCTATTAATGACATGGGACGCTCTATTAAACTCGTGTATGCCTTCTATTCATCTCTGTGTTTGTACAGCAGCTCACAAGGAGCACTGTGCTCCGCCCTGCCTCTTCCCACCATGCCCACAGTCCCAAAGTGCGTGTGAAGGTGGGGGTCAGGAGGTGCGGAGAGCAAAGAGGGAACTTGGGGGAGAAAGGCATGAAGGACACTGGAGAATTCATCCCCGTCTAGGCCAGAGTAAAGTACATCTGTCTGTTGTGTCACGAACGTGCTTCAGACACCTGGGGCAGCAGATTTTTTGAGCCCTGAGCTGCGTACCCATAGGCCTACCTGGTAAAGTGTGGGATCTCATCGTTGATGTTCACAATGGTCACCTGGAGCACTGTGGAGGCTTCGAGATTCCTGCTGTCCCTCACTCCCACAAGGAGATAGAAGCTGTCAGGGAAACAAACAAACTTTGCTTACATAGCCACAGAGGAAGGTGAGCAGGCTTCTTCTCCAGCTGCCTGCTTCTCATGCACCTTCAAAGGTCCTTCTCTGGTCATGGGTTCACTCCCTCATTTTTCAGTCTGGAGTTTTTCCTCATGGCTACTACCTCCCTGGACAGATTCCACTCAAGCCAGCCAACTCATGTCCTCTGCCTTACAATGTCCCTGCAATGGACCTGCTCCATTCTCAAGGAAATAAGGCTAACATTTTATTCACTCACTCGAGGTACTAGTTATAGAAGCCAGGGCATCCCATACACTGGGTAGCAAGCACTCCACCACGGAGCTACACCCATCCTCAGTTCTCTTGACCAATCTAGAGCCAGGAGCCTCACCTGGCTTCCCCAACGCTTCCATCTCAAGCCCAACCTCTCAGACGACAGCCTCCCCACTCAGGCCTCCAGCTCTGGCCATGCCCTCCCCTACACCATGGCACCATTGGTTCTCCTGTGTCCTGACAGGGCTTTTGGCCTGCTGAAGCTGACCTTCCATACCCCAGGCTGCTCAGGGACCAGCCACCCTGAGTTTGGATCTGACTATTCCCTTATTTTCCTTGGGTTTTGGACAGACATACTTCAGGGAAAGTCCTTGAAAGGTTACCTCTTGTGTCCTGCTTCAAAGTCCAGCTCTGTGGTGGAGAAGAGGGTGCCATTGGCAGACATTCTGAAGTTCCTTGAGGGAGAAGTGAGGAAATACTGGAAAACAAGGGAAAGTTAGGATGGTTTCAGCCCTCAGGTGTTTGCTCACACACCATGTCTGGCACTCTTGTTCTGTGCAAGGCTATGAATGAGGAGAAAGATGAGCAGCTCTGAGACTTCATGGTTGCTCAGGAGAAAAGCCTGTAGATGCAACTGGTCTGAACCGCTCTGATGAATACTCCCTAAAGAGCTGTTCCAACCACTGAACGTCTACCACAGGGCCCCTGCCTGGGCAAGCGCTGATGCTAGCACTTACCTCCCTCTCCGTGTCCCAGTCACCTGACTTCTGCTTACCCTGGCTCTGGCACTATACCTTGACTTAAACACCTCTTAGACAATTAGAAACATATACCTGAGCATCATTCATTGAAACTATAGAAAGAAAGGGAAGAGGCAATTATAACTCAAGGATGAGGCAGACAGCAGTACTTAGAGCTGGGGATATGCTGTTCTTAAATTTTAGTCCTTGACTGGATCCCCACTCAGATCAGAAGGCGGGTTAATCCAACCCTCAGTTGGATCCCCACCTGGATGGGGAGTTGGGAGGTCTCCCCAGGTCTGACCCTCCAGTGTGTCCTCCAAGGTCCTTTTGTCCCGTCAGATACAGACTGTTTCACTGGCAAACCGAAAGCAAAAGACACAGAACTACAGGGATACCATAGACACAAATACAGCAGACACACACAGAAACTCACCCGACTCTTTGGAGATGAAACCTTTGGGGTTGGGGACCCAAGGGGATTGCTGGGGATTACAGAAGAGCCCTCAAATGTTATGCCAGTTCACAGGACTCCAGAGAGACCACCAAGGAGCTGAAGCCCCATATGCAAACACAAGGTTTCTTTACTGAATTCAAGCCTAAGCAAGGACCTCCCACAGACTGACACAGGGCAGCTGCAGGAGAGTGTCCTGAGCCTCAAAAGCAAGGGGTTCATAAAGACCAAAACCACAGGAAAGGGCGAAGGGATGGATTCAAAACTGATTGGTCGGGATGTCTAGAATGGGGGAATTTCCACAGGTTAATCTTTGGCACAACACGTGTCCATAAAAGTTGTTTTGCTGATTAACCCTGCTCTTCTTGCCAGAGTCAGGCCATGCTTTTCCTGGAACTGGGTGGGTGATGTGAGCCAGTCTGCACAGGTTCTGGGGTGAAGATCCCAAGTCGCGTCTGCTGTGCGGCCTGTGTCCGAGAACGTGCGGAGGGTGTCGGGGATTGACAACACAGAGACTTGTTCAACGGTGTAAAGAAAACTTTAAGCAGGCTCCAAAAAGGTTCAAGAAAACTTCCTAAGAATGGCTCCCACCAGAGAAGCTTCTGCTCTCTCCTCTACCCTGGCTGGTTCTCCCCTGACCCCAGAAACTGATCTGGGCGTGGCAGAAGAGGCGGTTAGTCTTTGGACAAAGTCGAGGTCAGGGCGGTTTCTGTGGGTAGGCCTTTTCCAGGAACGTATTGCCCCAGGCATTGTATTGTTTTTAGTAAACATGTTTTTAGTAAACATTGTCTTACAGCTGCCTACTCCCAGGCAGAAGGGGAAGTGGGTCTCTGCTCAAGGTCTGGTGTTCCCACAATCCCATATTCTGTTTCTGGCCCTCTTTTCTAAAATGGCCCTGGTTTTAGTCTCTCACTGGGCATAGAGTCATTGATAAAAGTAGGCTTCCCACATTTTTGGGTAGTGGAGGGTTTTTGTTTTCCTTGATACCAGTGCCCAGTGACACTCTCTTGAAATTTGTCTGTAACCCATGGAATCTGACCGAACCATACAGGCTCATGCCTAGAACCCACTAAAGGTGCTCATCAAGATGGCTTCCTTGCCTGGAGTGTAGAGTCAAGGAAGCAGGAGAAGGGCTGGGTACATCTTCTTATCTTTCCCTTGCTATCACTTAGGGACTATATCAATGGCTCCACTCTTTGCCATTGGGAGGATTGAGAATGCATGCTGTTAAATACGAAGGGTGGCTGGGTGTTGGTGGTGCACACTTTTAATCTCAGGCAGAGGCAGGTCGATCTCTGTGAGTTTGAGGCCAGCCTGGTCTACAGAGAGAGTTCTACAGGACAGCCTCCAAAGTCACAGAGACGCCCTGTCAGGAAAAAACACAACAAAAAACTAAAAATCTATCTCTAAGGCCTTAGATGGGTGAATTAGATAACCAGTGGAAGGTTTGAAAATGGAACTACAGCTCCCAAAGGCTAGGATTGAAAGACCCCGGCCCAGCACAGGTGGCTGAGGCCTATGGAAAATTCCTTTCCCCCACAGATCAGCCGAATAGTCATTTTTTTGATCAGAAGGAAGCTCAGCTCAAGGACTTTACAGCTGCATAGTCACTACTATCTCTGTCCAGATAGGGGCCCAGGTGTCTATGGTCTGCACAGCCAGCCCAGAAAGATTGGGCAGGCACAGAAACCTTTGTTCTTCAGATAGGGCCAAGGCCGAGAATTGAGTTATGAGAGAAACCTTAATTGCCTCTCTGTCCAGATGAGAGAAACCTTAATTGCCTCTCTGTCCAGATGAGAGAAACCTCGTTCTGAGCCCCCGCCTCATTTAAATTACCCAATCAGGGTCCTGTAACTAGGCTTCTCGCTTCTGTACTGCGCTTTTTGCTATAAAAGAACCCCTGAGTCCCCAGCTCGGGGCTCTCAGTTCCCGAGACTGAGACGCCCCGGGTACCCGTGTATTATCAATAAAGCCTCTTGCTGTTTGCATCCAAGCTCGTGGCCTCGGTGTTCCTTGGGTTCGGGTCTCCCTCCCGTGAAAGTCCCCACCTGGGGTCTTTCATTTGGTGCGTTGGCCGGGAATTGAGACCCCGCCCAGGGACCACCGACCCACTTCTGGGAGGTAAGAATTGTCCGGACTAAATTTCTGTTGTTTCTGTTGTCTGCTGTCTGTCTGTCTATGCCTGTTGTTTTATTGCGCCTGCGTCTGTAATATACAGCTGTATACATCTGTATCTGGTGGCACCGACCGCAGCTCTAGGACACGATCTGCCTCGTCTGTTTGGGGCCCCGTCTGTTTGGGGCAGATGTCCATCTGCCCCGTCTGGAGTTCTTAGGGAACTCGTCTGTTTGGGGCCCCGTCTGTTTGGGGCAGATGTCCATCTGCCCCGTCTGGAGTTCTTAGGGAACTCGTCTGTTTGGGGCCCCGTCTGTTTGGGGCAGATGTCCATCTGCCCCGTCTGGAGTTCTTAGGGAACTCGTCTGTTTGGGGCCCCGTCTGTTTGGGGCAGATGTCCATCTGCCCCGTCTGGAGTTCTTAGGGAACTCGTCTGTTTGGGGCAGGTCTGTATCTGGAGCTGGAGTTCTTAGGGACTCGGTTGTTTGGGGTAGATGCCTAGGAATCTGCCCCGTCTGTTTGGGGAAGTCCCGCTGGCCGAGGGAGTTTCCATCCTGATAGGGGACAAGGACGGGAGCACAAGGCCCCCGTCCCCGATCTGAATTTGCTTTTGACTTTCGTCAAAGCCGCGCAGCAAAAATCTGTTTGTTTTTGTTTCTTATCTGTTCGTCCGTCTGAATGTCGTTTGTCATCGCTCTCGAGATGCTCGTAACCGGACTGTCGCGCGCAAGAAGCATGGATCATCCTTTGCTCTTCTGAATGGCCAACTTTTGATGTTGGCTGGCCACGAGATGGCACCTTTAACCCTCAAATTATTTTCCAGGTGAAAGAGAAAGTCATGGATCCTGGACCCCAGGGCCACCCGGACCAAGTACCCTATATAGTTACCTGGGAAGTGCCGGTCTATGACCCTCCCTCCCCCTCCTCTTCCCTAACCCCGCCGCCGCCGCTGCGGCACCGCTCGGGCTGCGGCCCATTTCCGGTTCGCGTTCAGCGTCCCGGCCGCTGCGCGAAGGGCGCCCTGAATGTGAAGGCGCGACCGACCGGCGACAATGCGAGGGGAGCTGTGTCTGCCTCCCTGCGGCCCGCGATGGACCGGGTCAGAGAGCGGCCGCCACGCCCCTCGGCCCCGCTCCCCGGCAGACGCTCCGGCCCTTCCGGGCGGCGCCGTAGCCTCAGCCCGCTCCGGATTAAACTGCCCTGCCCCTTCGGACGGGCCATGATGGCCAATTACAGTACTGGCCGTTTTCTGCCTCTGATCTTTATAACTGGAGAAATAATAACCCCTCCTTTTCAGCAGATCCTGTGAGACTGACTGATTTATTGGAGTCGGTTCTTACTACCCACCAGCCCACCTGGGATGATTGCCAACAGCTTTTACAGGTCCTCCTCACTTCGGAGGAAAAACAGAGGGTCCTTCTTGAAGCCCGGAAAAAAAAATTGTTCCTGGGGCAGATGGACAACCTACGCAGCTTCCAAATGAAATTGATGCTGCTTTCCCCCTCGACCGCCCAGACTGGGACTTCACCACTGAGGCAGGTAGGACCCATCTAATGTCTTTAATGCCAGTTGCTTGTAGCGAGTCTCCGAAAGACGGATAAGCAATCTATATATTTGGCCCAGGTAAGACAGATAGTTCAGAAGGCAGAGGAATCGCCAGCCGCATTTTTTTGAAAGACTTAAGGAAGCTTACAGAATGTATAACCCATATGACAGGGGTATACACTACCAGATGTATTGAGGGAGACAGAATGTATTTTTTTAATAAAAGAGAAGCTCAGAGAGAGAGAGAAAAGAGGTAAACAGAATGTCAGAGACAGGAAATGAGAGAGACAGGATAGCAAGGGACAAGAAGCGTAATAGAGAGATGACTAAACTGTTGGCCACAGTAGTTGCAGAGCAGAGACAGGATAGGCAGAGAGAGGGACAAAGAGGGCCTTGCCTGGAAAGGAACCAGTGTGCATACTGCAAGGAGAGAGGACACTGGGCAAGAGAATGTCCCAAGAAACAAAGAAGGACATTCCAAAGGCCCAAACCCCGCTCTCAGACCTCCGACCTGCTGAGCCTCGAAGATTAGGGAGGTCAGGGCCAGGAGCCCCCCTGAGCCCCGGATAACCATACCAGTAGGGGGGCGCCCGGTCACCTTCCTGGTAGACACGGGGGCTCAAC